CTTAAAGCTGGGACCCTTTGCGAGTGCGCTTCAGGGCCCCGCCACTTGGTGGAACAAACAGAGTGCCGTACCTGGCAGAAACCAACACCACAACAACAAGCAGCAGCAAGCAGCAGCAACATCGTCCTCGTCCTCGTCATCCTCCTCCTCGACATCATCACCATCATCATCGTCATCGTCATCGTCCTCCATCATCATCCATCGTCATCATTGGCATCGGAATCGTCATCCTCATCTTGTTTCTCACCATCCGCCACCGCCATCGCCGTCATCATCGTCATATCGCCATCGTCCTCGTCATCGTCACCATCACCATCATCATCATCATCATCATCATCATCAGCAGCATCAGCATCAGCATCAGCATCAGCATCATCAGCATCATCAACAACAACGACAACGACGACGACAACCACAACGATGTCAAAAAAAACACCACCACCACGGACAACGACAACAATGAAGACGACGGCGACAGCGACAACGACAACGACGTCAACAAACCACCACCACCACCACCACCACGGACGACGACAACAACGAAGACGACGGCGACAGCGACAGCGACAGCGACAACGACAACAACAACAACGACGACGACGGCGACAACGACAACGGCAACGACAACCAACAACAACCAACAACAACCAACAACAACAAACAACAACCACGACAACGACAACCACAACCACAACCACAATCACCACCACCACCACCACCACCGCCATCACCACAACAACAACAACAAGAAGAAAACAACAACAAAACACCCACAACAACAACAACCACAACAACAACAACAACAACAACAACAACCACCAGCACAACCCCAACCACAACCACAACAACAGCAGCAGCAGCAACAACAACAACACCACCAACAACAACAAAACCAACCACAACAACACCACCACCACAACAACAACAACAACACGAACAAACAACAAACAACAAACAAAGAACAAAAAACCAACAACAACCAACGAACAACAAACAACAAACAACAAACAGCAAACCACAAACGACAAACGACAAACAACAAACAACAAACAACAAACAACAAACAACAAACCACACACCACAAACCACAAACCACAAACCACAAACCATAAAGAACAAACAACAACGACAAACAACAACAACCAACAACAACAAACAACAAACAACAACGACAAACAACAACAACCAACAACAACAGACAACAAACAACAAACAACACCGACAAACAACAACAACCAACAACTACCAACAACGACAAACAACAATCAACAAACAACAAACAAAAAACAACAAACAACAAACGACACCAACAACCACACCACCACCACAACACCAACAACAACAACAACAACAACAACAACAACAACAACAACAACAACAACAACAACAACAACAACAACAACAACAACAACAACAACAACAACAACAACAACAACAACAACAACAACAACAACAACAACAACAACAACAACAACAACAACAACAACAACAACAACAACAACAACAACACAAACACCAACAACAACAACAACAACAACAACAACAACAACAACAACAACAACAACAACAACAACAACAACAACAACAACAACAACAACAACAACAACAACAACAACAACAACAACAACAACAACAACAACAACAACAACAACAACAACAACAACAACAACAACAACAACAACAACAACAACAACAACAACAACAACAACAACAACAACAACAATTACAACAACAACAACAACAACAACAATTATAGTGCGTATCTATCAGTTAGCACTTTTTAGCAGGCGGCACAGTTAGCACATCCCTGGGTTGGCCGGAATGCCCCCGTCAGCCCCGAACAGTTAGCACACACCTGCCACGCCCCGAAACCGAAAGGGGCGACCAACAGTTAGCACATGCCTCTCTGGTTGTGGGCAGAGATACGCTTTCTGAAACGAGCAACTTTCGCAATGCAGTACAAGTGTAGTAAAGGAAGTACACTTGGCAGATCCGTCTCAAAAGTCGCAACTTTTCAGTACAAGTGTAGTAAAGGAAGTACACTTGGCAGATCCGTCTCAAAAGTCGCAACTTTTCAGTACAAGTGTAGTAAAGGAAGTACACTTTGGCAGAGCTCCGGCTCGAAAGCCGCAACTTTTCAGCACAACTGTAGTACAGGAAGTACGCATTGGCAGCTCCAGCCCGGACGTCTCAACTTTTCAGTACAAGTGTAGTACAGGAAGTACGCATTGGCAGCTCCTGCCCGGAAGTCTCAAGTTTTCACTGCAAGGAAGTATGCCTTGGCAGCTCCGGCTCGAAAGTCGCAACTTTTTAGTACAAATGCAGTAAAGGAAGTAGATTTGGCAGATCCGGCTCGAAAGTCCAGTACAAGCGTAGCAAAGAAAGTACACTTCGGCAGCTCCAGCTTGAAAGTCGCAACTTTTCAGCACACGTGTAGTATAGTGCGTATCAATCAGTTAGCACTTTTTTCCTAGGCAGATAGCAAATTACTGTGTTGGCCGGAATGCCCCGTCAACCCTGAACAGTTAGCACACACCTGCCACACCCTGAAACCCAAAACAGCGGTCAACAGTTAGCACATGGGGCTCTCTGGCTTTGGGCAGGCGAACAGAACATCAAAGGGCTACATACGCTTTCTCGAATGTTCATGGAAGCACACGTGTCAAATCTTCACTAAGCGTAGAAACTTGCAGAACCCAGTGAGCCTATGATGGAGGAAGGGTGTGCGGTGGACTGGCTTACATGGAGCTTGCGTGGATAGGTGATGCTTTACTTGGCCCCAGTACTTTGTTGAACGTTATTATTGTGTTACAGTGTTTTCGTTGGCAGCTCCGGCTCGAAAATCGCAACTTTGTAGCACAAGTCTGGCTACGCGAAGTACACTTCCGCAGCTCCAGATCGAAAATCCCAACTTTGTAGCACACAAGTCTAGCACGCGAAGTACACTTCCGCAGCTCCAGATCGAAAATCCCAACTTTGTAGCACGCAAGTCTAGCACGCGAAGTGCACTTCCGCAGCTCCAGCTCGAAAATCGTAGTGCAAGTCTAGAGCGCGAAGCCCACTTCCGCAGCTCCAGCTCGAAAATCACAACTTTGTGGTACAAGTCTGTGCGCGAAGTACACTTCCGCAGCTCCAGCTCAAAAATCGCAACTTTGCAGTACAAGTCTAGTACGCGAAGCACACTTCCGCAGCTCCAGCTCGAAAATCGTAACTTTGTAGTACAAGTCTAGTACGCAAAGCACACTTCCAAATCGCAACTTTGTAGTGCAAGTCTAGTGCGCGAAGCACACTTCCGCATCTCCAGCTCGAAAATCGCAACTTCGTAGTACAAGTCTAGTACGCGAAGTGCACTTCCGCAGCTCCAGCGCGAAAATCGCAACTTTGTAGCACAAGCCGAGCACGCGCGAAGAAGACAAGTCGCGACTCGCCTTAGCGTTTTACGGCGGCCACGCAAGGGCCCCACCCCAACTAAGCTGCAACTGCAGGGGTTATTGTAGAGCCACGTGTTAACTTACGGTTATCGTTTTTGGGGGAGCCCTTATCGTTGTCCGTGGCCTTTTGGAGTCGTAGGCCAAAGAGTACCCCCTTTATCAAAGTGGTCTACACGTGTTTTGTCCGTGAAAGACAAGAGTTTGCCAACATACAAATGGATTGCCAGGTGCCAAATTCTAGCGCGTTGACGTGTGGAAATCCAGCAATGCAGCTCCGGCTCGCAAGTCGCAACTTTTCAGTACAAGTGCAGTAAAGGAAATACACTTTGGCAGATCCTGCTCGAAAGTCGCAACTTTTCAGTACAAGGAAAAATGGCAGCTCCGGCTCGAAGGTCGCAACTTGTCAGTACAAGTGCAGTAACGGAAATACACCTTGGCAGCTCTGGCTCGAAAGTCGCAACTTTTCAGCACAAGGAGATACACTTTGGCAGCTCCGGATCGAAGGTCGCAACTTGTCAGTGCAAGTGTAGTAAAGGAAGTACACTTTGGCAGCTCCGCCTCGAAAGTCACAACTTTTCAGCACATGTGTAGTAAAGGAAACGCACTTTGGCAGCTCCGGCACAAAAGTCGCAACTTTTCAGTACAAGTGTAGTAAGGAAATACACTTTGGCAGATCCCGCTCAATGGTCGCAACTTGTCAGTACAAGTGTAATAGACAAAGTACACTTTGGCAGGCAAACGTACAAACGCTCGGGCTCCCGCTTGGGGCGACACGGATGCCACGCAACAGGCGTCAGCAAAATGGAAGAGCAACCGCGTTCGAGTTTCTGCTCGGGCCGAGCACGCGTGCCACGCAAGGGCACACGCAAAGGCAAGCGAAGCCACGCTCGGAATCCCGCTCGGAATCCCGCTCGGATCCCGCTCGGGCCGAACGCGGATGCCACGCAAAGGCCTCAGACCCTCTTGCGGAAGCCATACAGTTAGCACACGCCAGACCCTCTTGCACCTCGCTTGGCCGTGTCAGCCAGCCAGGATGCAACCGCGCTTCTCCTACAGTAATTGCCGTTTCCTGCAACGGCAGCCCAACTGTCTTGATAATTGAATTTGGCTTTGGGATTCACAAACAACGGGCCCCTAAAAGCCTGGCAACTCCACCCCTGAAAGCCTGGCAGTCCGAGTTTTGCGTCCAAACGCAAACACATTATCGTAGCAAAACCGTTCGGCCACCAAGTTTCGAAGTGAAGCTGACTTGGGCGCCGTGTAGAAGCTTTACCCGCAAGACAAAGACAAGTTCATAATCATGAAGAAACACCGTGCCCTGGTTTTACTCTTGAAAGCCCACAAGTTTTGCCGGGGCCGCGCCCGCAAACAGGCTTGGGATCCCGCTCGGGCCGAGCACAGACGCCGCGCAAAGGCGCTGGTAAGGACCAAAGCAAAGACACGCTCGGGATCCCGCTCGGGCCAAACACGTGCGCCGTGCCAAGGTGCAGGTAAGGACCAACGCAGCCACGCTCGGGAGTCCACTCAGGCCAACTATGGATGCAGCGCGCAGGCGTAGCCCGCTCGGGA